ATTCAAACAATTAATTACTCATGGCCAAATAAAACAAAATTAATTCTTTACTATACAAAATTTTTTGGTAGTTCATATTGGTATAATTCAAATGAAAACGATGTTTATTCAAATGATTTTAGTTTAAATAATTGTCCCATATCAGTTAATGCATGTTATGTTACAATTGATCATCAATTTTTTTCACAAAGTGATGCGTCACTTATTCATCTTCGAGAATCAATTAATTATAAAAAATTAAATAATATAACACGACAATCAAATCAAAGATTTATTTTCTTTTTAAAAGAATCACCAATGCATTCACCAATTTTATCTCCCAAACAACATGGTCGATTATTTAATTTTACTCAAACATATCGACCTGATTCAGATATAACAGCAACAACATTAAGAAATTTTTTTTGGTTATTTAATCATAAAATATATCCAAATTATGATTTTAAATCTATACTAGAAATGAAAAAATCGGGCAAAATTCTCGTTGCTATTGTTTCTAATTGTGGTGGTTCAAGTAGTCGTCTAGATTATATTAAAGAATTAAAAAAGTATATATCTGTTGATATCTATGGAAAATGTGGACAACGATGTCCTGATGTTTCTAATTGTCGTCAGTTTGCTTATTCATCATATAAATTTTATTTATCGTTTGAAAATAGTTTATGTGATGAATACGTAACAGAAAAATTTTTTTTTGCAATTGATAGTGCACAAATTATACCAATTGTGCTTGGATGGGCACGTTATGATCATTATATTCCTTCAACAGGATATATTGATGTTCGAAATTTTACAACATCACGTGAACTTGCTACATATATTGATTATCTTGATAGAAATACAACAGCTTATTTAGAATATTTTCAATGGAGACAATATGCACTCCATATAAAAGCACCAAAATATATGTGTGAACTTTGTCTAAAATTATTTCTTGATGATAAAGATCATAAACAACAATCATTAGAATATATTGATCAATATTGGAATAGAAAAACTCAATGTCATACTTATACAAGAGATAAAAACGGTACATGGATTATGAAATAGTTATTGATTCATAGATTTTTTTTTTCTTCTTGTTAAAGCATTATATTATGACGAAAGGACATGACATTAATTGGCAATCAGATTTTGTTTCTCGGTATTATTGAATGATGCTGAGCATACAAGCATAGTAAAACTATTTAATTATTGTTTTATTTTACAGTTTTATTCTTAACATGTGTCTGTGTGCATAAGCCTTTTTTTATAGAATAAATCAGATTTTTGAGAATAAAAAAAAACGAAGCTAGTAGTTGATTGAGATATGTTTGTTCATTTATTTGATATTTTTATAATTTCTGCCGAATTTTTTATGTAATATAATGTTTACACTGAAGAAATTGTTTATTATGATGCCAATAAATAGCTCCCAATGGGTCGTACTCACAATTTACTTGTTGGCCACGAACATGCAGATAAAATGATCATATACTAACTCATATATTGCTAAGGGCGGTCTTTTTTTCAATCGCTTTGCTGCCATATGGCAATAAAGCGATTGAAAGAAAAAGAAAAATACAGATGAAAGAAAAGAGATCGCCCTTAGCAACGCATGAGTTAGTATATGGCCATTTTTTATGCATGCTCATGGGCAACAAACGAATAGTGAATAAGGTTCATTTAACCAAGAGCTAGATCATGAACAAAAAATATTTTCTCTTCAAAAGAGAGAAGCGACCGTCTCTCTAGTGGTTCTCTTTTGTTTTCATCGCTGATTTCTTGTTAAAACATCATTTGTTTTGATTAGGTCAATCTAATCATGAGTTTTTTTTCTGTGTGCGATCGTTAAATAAAATCAAGGTAACATAACTTATTCTATGTACGGTCATATTACCATTCGTTCCCTACAAATAATTATCAGCTGACTTTCACTATTGTTATTCGATATCATCTTACGTTATCTATCCTTACAGAATATGTTTGTCAAATAGAAATATAATGCACAATAAACATTTACAAATCGGATGGACATATATTGGACTATTGTTAACCTAAGCCAACAATCATTTTTAAATATTAATCAAGAATATCATTGGTTTTGTTTCATATAATAAGTGTTTTGCCATACAAAAGAAAATCATCATCTATTTTCTGTTCATTTTTGTTTGAATGCTCTCTTTTTTAACAATTCGAATATATGCTGTTATTTTTAGTCATTGCATGTTTTGTTACTCAATTAACTGTCTGAAACCTCATTGATGCATACAAAATGAAAACAATTCGATGATCGATAAATTCGAATAGCAGAGAACAAAAAAAACGAGAAGATTAATTGTCATAGTCCTTACATAAGCAAATAATAAATTCTAAAAACTACATCATACATTATTCTTCCCATTTTTCAGTTAAAAAAACTGATTATTCATGGCTGAGAAAATTGTTTACAATGATTCTGAAATCGAATCAATGAATTACGAAAGACTAACAATGGATATTTATGATGATATAATTATATCAACGAATAGTTCAATGTCAATTTTTAATTTAAGTAATGATATGGCAAAAAATAATAAAAGATCAAGCGGTTAATGTCATTGAACATACTATAGTTAATGCGAGATCAAAAACATGATTTATTCTTAATGAACTTGATCCTTTGTTTTTTGCTACATCTAATCAATCAAATAATTATTAATAACCGAAACAGGTTTTGTTTTGATTGTAGGAAACCAATTTTTAAATTATCCTATTTATGTTCTAATTGAATAAAAATTTAACAAGTTTAAAATATAGAATGGTATAAAAGTCAATTCGGCAATCTTTGTTTGTGAATAACTTTTCATTGGAACAAGATAAAGAACTATGACTAGACTATGTCGCTGCATGACTCCACGTATGATACAACAATGTCGGATGATGATCACATTGTGAGTCAATGGCCTTTCAGAAAAATACTCATAATTCCATGAAAATGACACAAAAAATTTAATTCTAAAAATAACTCTTTAACAGATTACAATAAAAATTTGAGATTAGCATGCAAACCTAGTGCATTTTCACAGAGCTAGCAGTATTTTTTTTTAAACCCACTTACTTACAATTCGATTATAAACTGAATTGTTGAATTATACATGCACTCATATGTAGTGACATAAATTCTTCCGAAAGGGTGAAAGCTGCAGTTCCCAGTCATGTTCCTATCAAATGTTATCTGCAAACAAAGACTGTCGGATGACTTTTGTATCCACCACTCACTATGTGTCTGATGTGTAACACAAATAAAACACGAGCTATTCATCATATGCAAATAAGTTTATAAAAATAGGTATGCAAATATCACTAATGGATTACAGTAGTACATTTTTTTTCGGTACTTAGTGCAGACAAACATACGGCTATTTTATAATATGTGAAATGTTCTAATATTTGCAATTGTTTGTCATATGAATTTAATACTATGCATTATTTAACTGTAAAAATCTCGAATATCCAAACAGTAGATGATTTCGATAGATTCATAATTCATTCTGTAATTGATGATGCAATTGTTTTTATTAAGATAGTTAGCTAACTTTCTTGATTTTGCATTGTTTTTTTTTTTATTGCTTCTATTTTAGTAATATTTTTTTTTGAAATAATATAATAGCAAAGAAAATAAAGACAAGTGTTCTAAGATTTAATAAATACAGTGATTACTTGATATTGTAAATTAAGAAACTGTTGATAGGAAAATAAGAAGATTGATAAATTTCAAACCATGTTTCTAAACTATAATTGTATTTTAAGAAACATGATGAATCGAAATTTCAAAGATACAAAGGAATCGGATATAATCTATATTTCATTTTAGAAAATGTTTGAACAGTAAAAATTATTATTATTGAAACTATTGTTTTTCAGTACGAAAAACCCTACATATTTTACTCATAATTAAGTTCGAATTCTTCTTCATTTGTTGACAAAAGAAAGTACGATATTTTAGAATGTTCAATTTTCTCTCAATTATTTGCCAATATTTTAAACAAGTCTTTTAATCATTGCTTAATTTTTTTAATAATCAGATTTTTTTAACATTCATTTGTGTCAATCTATTATTGAATTCTTCATAAATGATTTTTCAATGCATTTAGTTTGTTCATTAAGTAGCATCTCCACGAAAATAGACATGCATGAACATGTGAATAGTAAATAATCATCTTTATTTGTTCTTTAGTATTACTGTTGTATTTGTCGATAATCAAAATCTAAAAACCATTGATATATTATTGACTATTTGAATTGTATTACTATTAATATTTTACTCGTTACTGTTCATTCAGAAACCTATAATCTAGTTCTCGTAAATCATAAACAGATGATACACCAGTTAATTTTATCATCTTTTTTTTTTGTGATCATTCACCACAATACGCTTCATAAAATTCTTATTTTTCTAAAACTTATTCCTTAACGCTATTGTTCAGTTTATGAGATATAAGTTTCAGTTTATATTTAGTCTATACTTGATAGGTGAGTGAATGACTGTTATTATTTTTGAAACATAATAATTGATCCTAAATATTACACTAATAATAAACTAGAACACTATTTCTAACATAAACATAATAGATTACACTAGTTTTGTCTTTCATCAATCTTTTTTTAATACTAGAGATAGAGTGAATCAGTTTTAAAAGATAGACTTCTACTGAAAATGTTGTATCAGAAAGAAAAGAAAATTATTTTATTATTTTATAATATATCTTGAGATAAAACAACATACAAGAATATGTGCAATATATCAAATTTGAGCGATTATTTTATGTATTCTTTCTTTCTCTATGTACAAGTTTTCGGAAATAAATGCTTAAGATACTAACTTAGATTTTGTAGATAATCATATTCAGTTAAGAAATGATATAGTTTCATAAAAATTCTTTTATTGTAACGTACGATTAATACATTCATACATTATGCTCAATTCTCATAAATCAACGAATAGTTTCTCTAAGACAATTGAAAATTGTTTTCATTCACTAACGAACAATTTTTATGCCATCATTTATAGAATCTAACCCAATGACGAATTTCCATGGAAATGGACACTGTTCGAGATCAATCGATATTTCAACTAATGTATTTGTGCGATGATGTTGAAGCTGAATTAGTCGATTGTCACAATTCAATATTAATGTTATTTCATCACCTGATTTAATGATTTCAGTTAGATCTCTATTTTTCGGTTCACCATTGACAACAGTATAACGTAATTCTCTCCAGCCATATGCGGACTTTGCTCTTGAAATTCTTGATATCAACTGTTGTGATGCAGTGATAATACCAAAAAACCAATAATCACTGTCTCTATGCACAATTCGAAAACGAATAAAATGTATTCTAGATGAATAACGACCAATACCACTGATGTATGATCCGCCAGTCGTGGTTCGTGAACACCATGCAGCGAGACCATCTGTAGACAATGTAATATTTCCAAAATTCTCGTTGAATTTCTCATTAGAAGACCATCCAACAAATCGATTCTCAGTATCATTATTATTTTCATTCAATTGTTTTCCTTGAGAAAAAGATAACAGTGAATGTTGTACACCAGTTACTTTAATCAATTTGATAGGTGATGTTATGCTATTATCATAATCAATGTTAACAAACGATGGTTTTTCAATTATTTGACGAAGTTCTTTTAATTGTTTAATCCAATTTTTAATATTAATTTCTGTGTAATTATCTGATTGTTGACAATCTTGAACCTGTTGAGTTAATTTACCAAAAAACATCTTCAATTCATTGTTTGTTTGATTATGTAATTGTTGGAGAGCAACTCGAGCATTCTGAGCACATGTTTGAATAGTTTTAATTGATTCTTGTTCCCATTTATCAATATATTCTAATGAAGAATCTATATTTTTTTCACAATTTAGATCTTGTCGTAAGAGATTATGTTCTTGACCAATATCATTCATTTGTTGAGAAAGTTCTTGTCGATGTTCAATAAAATGTTTAGTACAAAATGATTGTTGACAACCATGACACATAGCAGAACTCCCACTATTACTACATTTTGCACAGGTTTGCTTCATTTTCATTTTCGTCGATGTCATTATTCGAATTGAAGTATAGTTGAAAATTATATGATTTCTTCGTTAGGCGTAATAGTACATAAGATATGGTTTGCTGTTTCTTCTGAAAAAAAAAAGACAGAAAATTTTATGTTAAAACAAAAACAAAAAAAGAATAGATGAGAAAAGTTTTCAGCTAAAAATATTTACTTCTTCTACATGATACACATACTCAATTCAATGACGCATAGCATAGTACGAGGATAAAAATATGTGAAATCATGTAGAATTCCCATACGTATTTTTTCAAATGTTAATCAGAATGCTGCTCATGCACGCAGGGCATGCTTGATACGCACATTGCCACATGTACGTACGTGGGCAAGAATTAAAATAAGTTCCGTATATAACATGCGGTGCAAAAGTCTTTGCACAAATGTCAAGCTCCCTTAGACCGTCTTGCTAACTTCTAAATCAGTCAAACTCTTTTTGGTTGAAAGAGCAAAGCCTGAGCTACAAATTTTGTATCAGACATATTTTCACAGAATGGATCTGAGAAAGAGGAAAAAGCAAAAAGCAAACACCTCTAAAAACATCCTTGCAAGTTCACAATCGAGGAACATTATTTTCCATTTTCTATTAGTTTCTTTTCATCAGAAAAGAAATAAGAAAACACGTTAAATGATGTTTTTTCTAGCATAAAGTGTGTTCTTTCCAATGGTACATTGGAAGATAAATTTACTCTTGGCTCTTGTAGCAAAAGCTGACTTTGTCTGAAAGAGACTAAATAAGTTGATCATTCTTACTACCTACCCGTTTCACAAAGATAAAGAATATTTTTTGAACTATTTCTTTTGTTCAAAACTTCTACTATCTGATATATTTCAAATAAATGACGTAAAAAAAAGATTCAGTTCATGCATGATTTCCGAAGATGATGGTTGACTATCTTGCAAAGTCATAGCTTTTGCAAAAGATTCGATTTTCCAAAAAAATTCATGTTTTATACTGGTTTGATTGATGACTCAAGAACGGATCTAAAACTTTTGTCAATGTTGATATTGATAGAGTTTTTGATGCGCTAAAGTTTGGTGCAATTTTCGTTTAAGTTTGACAATTGGAGCTCGAAGTAATTAAGAAATACAAAATTTTCAAGTTGCAAAAACGTTGCAAGAACCTTTTTAGAGGTATTTGGTTGTTGTTTTTTCGTCCTTCTCAGATTCTTTCTGTGAAACTATTTCTGGTACAAACTTTGTAGCTCAGACTTTGCTCTTTCCAACCAAAAAGAGTTTGACTGATTCAGAAGTTAGCAAGACGGTCTAAGAGAGCTTGACATTTGTGCAAAGACTTTTGCATCGCATGTTATGTACATACGAAAATGTATTTACTTTATCCTAGCTTATATGAAACAATAATATTACTTTCCATTTGTTACTCTCATCTATCCAGCAATTATTTGACATTTGTTAAACAAAGCATATAGTGAGATATATAAATTGAATTAAAAAATACTTTTTAATATAAGATATGTATGAAAATAATCGCATGTCAATAAAATCGTGCATACATCGGCGACTATATCGCGATTAAATCGCCCAAACTGATAATTTTGCTGATTTTTTCCAAGTGCTCATAAAAACTCGCGATTAATTTACAATTTTTTAAATTAATTAATGAGTAACTACAATTAATTTTTTTCATAAACGAAGTTTCCAGAGTCTCTTAAAAACTCCTTGAGGAATAACGACAGGTATTTTTCTGAGGATTTGCTTAGGAATGTAGTACGAGAATTATGATGATTATAAACTTTCATATGTATAACGTCGTTTATTGTTGTATTCTCTTAAGTGAGAAGAATAAGTTGTTCTTGACTTTTCTCCGTAAATATAAATATATAATTTTTTTTTCAATTATATTTACTGATGAAACTATAGTTGATGTTAATCTAAATGGAAAAAGAATATAATTTATTTTGTTAAGTAATATGCATTATGTCATTGTTCTCGGCATTGATCTAAATGAAAATAAGACAATTTATTTCTTAAAATAATATACTTATTATCGAAGTTATTACGAATTAAAAGTTTCTCCAACAAAATAAGATAGATTATACAACAGCTGGAAAAACAAAATGGTCATGACTGTTTTTTTTTCATTGAAATTAATCAGACAGTATATATTCAATTCAAAATTTCCATCAGATATCATCCTATGGAAATACTGAACATGGAAAAGCAAGAATCAGGCGACGTCAATTGGCCGCAGCAACTTACGAGCGCTATGACAATTAGTTATATGCTTGATAGAAGAGAGTAATTTCTAATTCATTTTCCATTAAATCCCAATTTCCAGGCATTTGTGTCAATTACACATACCATAGCACTGAGATAAGGGTAGCGTACGAAAACTGAGGATTTTATCCTATGGAATGGATTTGTAGGTAATCTAGCTGATAAACTGTTATTAAATGTTTACATTCATATGTTGAATTTATTGAAACGTTACGAAAAGACAAAAAGTATATTCATTGTTGAATAGTAAAAATCGCAGCAGACAGAAGCTCCAAAAACACCAGAAAAGTTATATAGATTATGGGAAATTTTTAAAGCATTTACTACTAGCACTGGTGTACGACTTCAGGTTCAATTAGAATAGTTTACTAAACATTTGTATTTATATTTGTATCTAACGTTCCTTGTCCTTGAATAGATTGTTAGTTATTCTATGGACCTCTCTGAGCTATATATCTGTAATGCTAAGAAATGGTTTTCGTCGGTGTTATTTTTCAACACTGTGACTTATTGTTGTAGCATCAACTGAATCAATATTTCATTGTAGATTAAAAATAACAAAAAAAATATGTAAAGAAAATTTTGAATGTGTTCTATCATATTGTGAAAATGTTGTTTAATTTGCATGCGAAATAAATAAATATGTTCTCAATGAAAAATATTAAACATCCTTTTTGGATTATTTATTAATGTTTTAAAATGTATTTTTCTAGATTACATATTTTTTCTTTTGACTGAAATTTTTTCATGGAAGCAAAAATTACATAAGTGCATCTGTCTTTTTATAAAAAAAACTCTTTAACTCAGATGGTTAAGTATCAGTTGGGTCAGCAATTAATTTTCAAAATAATACACCTTACTATTTTTTATATAAAATACTTCTGTTTAATAGCCTTATTTGAAAGATATTTAATAGAAGAAAACACTTGAAGTTAGCGAGTCATACAAAACTTAAGCTCTCATTATAAAAAATCTGATTGTAAAAATCAAAGTGTTGGATTTAGACATTTAGCAAGTCTTCAATATTAAAACTATTATTTCTTCACAGTTTAATGCTAACAAAAACTGTTAGTCAGATTATGCATATCACTTTTGCTGATGGTTTATTTTCATCAAACAGATGATTATGGCTGCAAAAACCTTCTAGAGAAAAAAAGGAAAACAATGAATATATTCTTAAGGAAAACTATCGAATATTTCAGTTCGAGTAACATATGATGGAAAAATAATTAGATAAAATGTTCATTTGTTTTTGAGGCGTTTTAAGAAGCCTGCAGAAATTAGAAAACATTAGGTTAGAATTAGAATTGTCAGTTCTTTCCAAACATGGATTCAAAATTTTTGTGAGAATTCTCGAAACTAGAAGCGACAGTTATTTGAAATAAAATGAATGAAAGAGTAAACATCTCTCAACCAAATGATAAGTTGACGGTTAGTTAACTGTAAATCATTTGTTAGCGATGAATAATTTGATAAGGGACATAGTGTCAATGTAGGCAATCTTACCGTTTTATATAAGAAGCAGACTTACAAAGTAAGCTAGAGCATTCTTGAATGGTTGTACTGCAACTCTTGATTTTTGTATCACTATATAAAGAGCATCTTTGCCTTTAAGTCTATGCAAAAAAAGAAATCCGTGACATTAAGCATGCAATAAAAGAGACTATAGCAACAGAATATATCAGTTTTCTCCGTCTAAATTTCATTTTCACACCTCTAAAGGTTAAACTCGTAAACCCTAAGCCAGGAGTTCTACAAAAATTTCCAACTCATATCCAGCAAAAACAAAAAACTCTTATGCCACCTCAATATTTTTTCCATTTTTGCATGCTTCTTTAAAAAGATTTAAAATCAATTAACAAAATATCCAACAAATCTTTATATAAATTTGCAATGAGTTACAAGTTCTTGCTGAGATTTATGAACAAAAAATGTTTATGTCATGGTAACAAATGGATAGTAGAGATTTATTATTTCATAGGTTTCTTTTTACAGTGACGCGTCATATACAATTATTATTAATCGAAGAACAGTTTGTGTAAGATTGTTGAAAATTGTCTTTATTTAGTAATGAACAATTTTTATACAATCATGTTCAGTATCCAATCTAATGACAAATTTCCATGGAAATGGACATTGTTCGAGATCAATTGGTATTCCAACTAGCGTATTGGTGCGATGATGCTGAAGCTGAATTATTCGATCATCACAATTCAATATCAATGTCACGTCATCACCTGAATTGATTGTTTTGGTTTGCTTTCCGACTTTCGTTTTACCATTGACAACAATATAATCTAATTCCCACCAACCATTTGCAGAGTTTGTATTCGAGATGTTTGATGCCAACTGTTGTGACGCTGTGATAATACCCAAAAACAAATAATTACTAGTTTTATTTTCAATACGAAAGTGAATATGATGTATTCTAGATGAATAACAACCAATACCACTGATGCATGATCCATCCCAGCAGTAAGATAAACACCGTCCAGTGAGACCATCTGTAGACAATTCAATATTTCCAAAACTCTCGGCGAATTTCTCACTAGACAATCCAACAATCTGCTCATCAGTATGATTATTATTTTCATTCAATCGTTTTCCTTGAGAAAAAGACAATAGTGAATGTTGTGCACGAGTTACTTTTATCAATTTGATGACTGACGCTATGTTATTATCATAATCAATATTAACAAATGATGGTTTTTCAATTATTTGACGAAGTTCTTTTAATTGGTCAATCCAGTTTTTAATATCAATTTCTGTGTAATCATCCGATTCTCGACAATATCGAATCTCTTGAGTGAGTTGATCGAAAGATACTTTCAATTCATTGTTTGTTTGATTATGTAATTGTTGGAGAGCAACTCGAGCGTTCTGAGCAGATGCTTGAATAGTTTTAATTGATTCCTGTTCCCATTTATCAATATGTTCTAATAAAGAACCTATATTTTTATTACAGTTTAAGTCTCGTCGTAAGAAGTCGTGCTCTTGACCAATATAATCGATTTGTTGAGAAAGTTCTTGTCGATGTTCAAGAAAATGTTTACTACAAAATGACTGTTGACAACCATGACACATGGCCGTACCACCACCTTTGTTACATTTGGTACAAGCATGTTTCATTTGGTTGGACGTCATTATTTCAATTGAACTATAGTTAAAAATTAAAGAATTTCTTTCTTAGGTGTAACCGTACAAAAGGTGTTTTATTGTTTCTTTTCAAAAAAAAAGAACATGAGATTTTATCTTAAAACATAAACAAAAGTGTTAAAAGAACGGAAGAGAAAAGTGTTTTTTATCCATCAAGAAAATGAAAAAAGTGCAGAAGAAAAATGCAGAAAAAGACGTTTTTTGATAAAATCATCTCTAGAAACTCTATGACAAAACATCAATCTAGTGTAATAATAATTTCGAATAAAATATTATTTGAGACAATTTTTTTCTGATAGTTATCGAAGCAATTTTTTAGTATTTCCTATTGTATGATTACTTTCAAAATAAATATTAAGGTTTAGATTGAATATTCTATTGGTCAATATTAAACCATAAAAAAAAATTCTCAGTGCGACTCCATAAGAGGTCACAGTGTGAAACTCACAAGCTCTGACTGTTATAAATTTATGGCATATTGTTAAAGAGGTTCAAATATTCTATTGCAAACGATGCCAAATAAATGAATGAGTAAAAACGATAACAATTTTTATAGTTCATATGTGCGCTCTGAAATTTCATCATTTCGAAAATGTTCACATCTAGAATTACTATTCTATCAATTTATTTTATTTGTTTAACATCGTTATAGCATAAAAACCTTTTTCTTTTGTCAGATACATCTTCAGTACATAATTTCTTTTCTTCTAATGATAATTTATATGATACCTTCCATAAGAATAGATAAGTATCATTTTATTCTTCGTTTCGCCGGTTTAACCACTACGCTAGTCTGCTATATACCATCGATTTAATAGTTCAGTAAGGTTTCGAGTACACGATCCTTTCTCTCGACGAACTTTGACATATATATATATGAGTTATTCTTATAGCTGAATTCAATTACTTAATATTTTTGTATGTCCATCTTGTTCTCACACTGCTCAATCAATAATGCCTCTGTCTTACTGATTGACATCTACAATAAGATATTCTCGCTAGACTAAATATAAGAAATATCAATATTTACATTAGTTAGAATTCATAGTACATATCTTAAATTCATCGAATCCATTGGAGGTGTCTCTAAAAAGTTCCAGAATGATCTATGCATTGTCATTACTGATGTGCCTTTTCCTGTTGCTAGAAAACGTACCCAATAATCATTAATTGCTACTGTCTAGGGAAGAGTGCCGCGAAAACCTCGATTTAAGATTCCATTCACTATATTTTATTTGAAAATGTATGTGAGTGCCACAAAATGAAAATAATGATAATATTCTTGAGGAAGACCATCGAATCTTTCAGTTGCAGCAATGCACGATCGAAAAATAACTAGGCAGAATGTTCATTGATTTTTCAGCCGTTTTCGGCAGTCTGCAGCAATTGGGTGTGGCTCTTCTTCCGAAAGCGTTGCATAAGAAAGAAAGTAAAATTGTTTTATCAGTTTATAATAAGTCTTGAGATAAAACAAAAAAGAAGAATACATACAATGAATTAAATTTTAGCGATTGTTCTATGTGTTCTCTCTCACTATGCGTAAGTTTTGCGAAACAAATGTTTAAAAGACTAGCTCGATTGCTGTAGATTATCATGTTCAGCTAGAAAAATGAAGTAGTTCTACTAATCCTTTTATATGCACCGCATGATTGATGCATACATGTATTACGCGCAATTGTTACGAATCAAAGAAAAATTTGTGTGAAGACAATTGAAAACTGTCTTCATTTACGAATGAACAATTTTTATGCAATCATTAGCAGAAAACAATCTAATAATTATTTTCCATGGAAATGGACATTGTTCAAGATCGATTGATATTCCAACTAACTTATTTGTACGATGATGCAGAAGCTGAATTAGTCGTTTGTCACAATTCAATATCAATGTCACGTCATCACATGAATTGATTGTTTTGGTTTGCTTTCCGGCTTTCGTTTTACCATTGACAACAATATAATCTAATTCCCACCAACCATTTGCAGACATTGCTTCCGAGATGTTTGATGCCAACTGTTGTGACGCTGTGATAATACCGAAAAACAAATAATTACTAGTTTTATTTTCAATATGAAAGTGAATATGATGTATTCTAGATGAATAACAACCAATACCACTGATGCATGACATGTCCCAATTAGTTCGCGAACACGATGCAGTGAGACCATCTGTAGACAATTCAATATTTCCAAAACTCTCGCCAAATTTCTCACTAGACGATCCAATAATCTGCTCATCAGTAGGACTATTATCTTCATTCAATTGTTTTCCTGGAGAAAAAGGTAACAGTAAATATTGTGCACGAGTTACTTTAATCAATTTGATGACTGACGCTATGTTATTATCATAATCAATATTAACAAATGATGGTTTTTCAATTATTTGACGAAATTCTTTTAACTGTTCAATCCAGTTTTTAATATCAATTTCCGTGTAATCATGTGATTCTCGATAATCCTGAATTTCTTGAGTAAGTTTATCAAAAGACATCTTCAATTCATTGTTTGTTTGATTATGTAATTGTTGGAGAGCAACTCGAGCATTCTGAGCACATGTTTGAATAGTTTTAATTGATTCTTGTTCCCATTTATCAATACGTACTAATAAAGTGTCTATATTTTTATTACGATTCCAATCTTGTCGTAATAGGTCATGCTCTTGACCAACATCCTCGATTTGTTGAGAAAGTTCTTGTCGATGTTCAAGAAAATGTTTAGTACAAAATGATTGTTGACAACCATGACACATGGCCGTACCACCACCTTTATTACATTTTGCACAGCTTTGTTTCAATCTCGTTGATGCCATTATTCGAATTGAAGTATAGTTGAAAATTATATGATTTCTTCCTTAGGCGTAATGATACATAAGATATGATTTGTTTTTTTTAAGACGTACAATCTTATGCTAACACAAAAACAAATTTTAAAAGAACGAAAGAGAGAAGTTGTTTTTTGCATTTCAAGAAAATGAAAAAAGTGCAGAAGGAAAATAAAGAAAAAGAAAAATTTTCTTATAAAATAATATCAATAGACTCTCACATAACCGGCAATATAATAAAATAATAATTTTAAATAGAATAATGTTTATTTCCCACAGTAGTCTTCTTTGATAGTTATGAAGATGATTTTTTAGCGCTCTCTATCGTATGAATTTTATACCAAAATCAATATTGAGGTTAAGATAATATATTCTATTGGTTAGTATTAAACCATTAATAAAAATCTATGGTTGAACAAAGAACAAAGATGGTGGATTGGTAAGGTTCATTCAATCACTGTTCCCTAAAGAGGAATCAAGTTTTTAGTACGAGGTTTTGTCTCATGAGTATATTCAATTCTTTAGTTTCATAACTTATTCAACGTATTATATTCTTTTCTTCTTCTTTTTTTTTTTGATTGACATTTGGTGAATTACTCTGCTCAATAACCTTTCTCCTGTCTTTTTTTTTTACTCATTCAATAAATTCAGTTGCTAATAAGCATGCGTGATATATCTAAACTTATTTATGGATAAATCAATCAAGAGTATGAAACGTGAAAATGAATTATTAGATGCTGTTAAATCATCTAATATATCTTCAGTTCAACGTATTTTATTTAAATGTCGCTCAGGAAAGACAAGTAAGTCATAGAATTCTTTTTTTTTTTTCATGAACATCAATCGAATTCTTTAGATATAGTATCTCCAAAAAAAATCAATGTCAATTTTCAAGACGATAATGGGTAAGTAGAACAAAAAAAAAAAAGAAAAGAATTGTCATGACTATAGGCTAGATAATACTTAATGGTAGATATTTTGTTGTTGTTGATGATGTACAAAACATTAGATAATCATCATTATCTTATTGATGGTTTGTTTCTCTTTTACACGCTTCCTTATTATTGGTTACATATGTTTATCTTTAAAAAAAGACGAACGAATGCTTGTTCATATGGTTCATATTAATGAAGTTTCTTTTTGTTTTGTTTTGGAAATACAAAAGATAATTGTTTCCATACCATGTCAAGTTTTATTTTTATATGTTTATCAGAATATGACGGTCAAGAGATTAAACTGTTCGCCAGTACCCGTTTGTATCTTGCTTGTTAATAGAAAAGAAAAAAAAGAATATGACCATCAGTATTAATAACCTCTGATCAAAAAGGTCGTCGTTTAGGGCATGTAAATATATCATTACCGTTGTCTACAATATGACTACTAAATCTTTTTATTCGAATTTAAAGTAATCTAAGCCTTAAATGGAAACCAAAGAAAAGGAATCAATTTTAATTAACACATTGATTATGTGTTATAACCTTGTTTCTGTTCACACTCTTATCATCACATGAATAATTAGTTCTTTTGAACATTTATTTCCTCGAGAAGACCTTGTTAGGATAAGTCTATCATCATAGAAATAAAAAAAAAAGAGATGAGATAAGGTCATAGGCGTTTCATTTTTCTTTATCATGTCGCGTGTAGAAATTCATTGTATGAATGTTAATTTTTATTGATGATTGTTTTCGACGTTGATCATCTGCTCGTGCGTTTTTTTTAATGTGTATGTGTTAAAATAAAAGATAAGAATAGATGTGAAATATATTAAAATGAAAAGTCAGCATGAATCGTTTCTGTTTTTTGATAATTGATCATGATGAATTAAAGGTCTGTGCATCTTTACGATAAAAGAGAAAAGCGTTAGATCAAAAAAGAAAAGAAAAGATAAAATGCGTGACTTCCGGATGTTGATTTTTTTTCGCAGTTTTAACTACTATTCTTACATCAATTCCAGTTCGCCTTGAATGAACTATTGTGTGATTCCCGAATGAGAGAGAGAGAGTCAGATTGTAAAAAAAAAAAAAGGAAACGGAAGAAAAAGGTCAAGTAGCGACAAACGATGATGATGATGATGATCATGTTGTCTCAAGAGAGATTTGTACGAGATCACGAATATGCTCACGTTATTTTATTTTTTTGCTAGCAACTATCTTGATATTTCTTCTTCCTTCTAAAAGAGATGATCCAATTGATCATTTCCTTCATCCCTTCATCATTTCATTTCTCCTATCAACATCTTTTCTTTTTCTTTTCTTTACACGCAATCTTCGCTGTTGTACCATGTAGTGTCAAAGGTTTACGTAATCTTGAGTGCACATACATGCGCGCATCATCGGCATAGACAAAAAAAAAGGATAACTGTGTAATAGCATCCATTTTTTCTCTATATCACAATCAAAAAGCAGAAAAAAAATCTCGACTCGGTAAAGTGTGTATGATACTCAATGGACCATTTGTTTTTATTATGGTCAATCTATATAATTATAATTCAAGGGTTTCTTATCTTTTTTGTTTTGTTTTTATTCTAGAATGGGTCCAATTCATGAAGCAGCGGTTGGGGGTAATGTTGAAATCCTTAAGCTGCTTATTGATAATGGTGCCAATGTAAATTTAAAAGATAATAAAGGTCTTCGTCCATTACATTATGCAGCATGGCAAGGTCGTAGTGAACCTGTTTTTATACTTTTACGTCGTGGTGCTAGTGTAAATGAACAGTCAATAAATGGTGATACACCATTACATTTAGCAAGTCAATATGGTCATAATGATATAGTGCAATTACTTTTATTTCATCAAGCTGATCCAACGGTAGTAAATCGTCGTTTATTAACATCACTTGATTTAGCATGTGAAAATGGACGTTTTGATGTTGTTAATTCACTTGTACAAAATTCTATATGTCAAAGAATGATATTAAATAGTAATGAACAAAATTGTTCATTACATTTAGCAGCAAAAAATGGACATACAGATATAGTTCGTTTATTATTATTAAATGGAATGGATATTAATCGTATAACAATTAATGATGGAACAGCTTTACATGTTGCTTGTAGAAATGGACGTTATGAAACAGCTAAATTATTATTAGAATGTGGCATTGATATTAATCTTTGTAATTCATATGAACAAACAGCAGATGAAGTTGTTATTAAACAAAAAACTGGAAATGATATAAAAAGATTAATAAAAGGTTTGAATGACAAAAAAATGAAACAAAAATTAAAATTATGAAAGTTTTATTTTATTATTGTTTAGAATTTTCTGATGCAGTATTAGTTCGTGCAATTCGTTCATATACAGATAATCATGTTGGAGCATTAAATTTTTCTGAAGGAGATTGTATTACAGTAAGATAATAATTCTAATAGATAATTATTATTTTTATTATTATGTTCAATATTTAGGTTTTAGAAAGAAACCCATCAGGTCAATGGCGTGGTTTTATTCTTCAAGAAGATTTAACTACACGAATGGGTTATTTTCCAAGTACACATGTTCAATTGAATAATACTAGTGAGATTTGTGATGGTTTTATATGAATACACTAATCGAAAAAAAATCATACAAAAAAGATAAATTATTAGATATCAAATTATTTTTCAGTTAAACTCAGTTTTTATTTGATACGTCTAACAAAGAAAATCTACTAATTGACTAATCGCTTTTGAGCCGGGACTATGAACATCATGCAGAATCAAATGAGCATTGAATATCCTGGCAAGAGTTTGAATCCTAGGCTTATTGTTGTGGTGATATAGTTGTTGTTTATAGTAGTTTTTAAATAAATGCTATACTCCTCTGGAAAGTTGTTTTTCAAATTTCGACTTGAAGCTTTGCACGGAGACAGCCCTTAACGATAGTAGTTAAAAAAAGACACACTTTTACCATAGCTGTATTCTAGAATAGGAACAACGATAAAATGTAAAAATTCACAAAAAAAAACTATTTTCGATAAGGTCGATTTCAGGGCAAAATTTGAAGTTAAAATTCAAAAAATCACTTTTCCTAATGTTCGTGAGAAGAGTGTCACAGAATGAGAGTCTGATGGATTGATACTGAATCCGATCGGATCGAAGTCTGAAAAATGTAGAGTGCACTAGTCACCAAATAGAAAAACAACTAGAACAAAAGTATCTCGTATATTTGAGGAGATTATCCGATTCCGATTAGAAAAAATTTCATTGAGAGTCTCCAAGTACAGTTCGACTGGATCCGGATCTGAGACTTCTGAACTCAACGAGCTCTATACGGTACTCATTTAAAAGCTACTGTAAAAGTGCAGTATTTCGTTATCAAAAAGCTAACGGTCTGAAATTCTTTTCAGAGTATTCATAGCTCATTTGGGTCTATGTAGTGCCTATAGTCTCGATTCGAAAGTGATTAATCAGTTGTAGAACTTCTCTCACAATCGAAGAATGAAATGACTAACATTACTAGTAAATTTAAACGAAAGAAATCTTGAAACATACATAATCGAGTAATTGTATTTAGAAAAAAAAAAACTCAAATTAAGAGTTAATACTTACTTTGACATGACTAATATCCATTATTGTATAAGATGTCAAAATAATATTCATCTAATTTATCTTTTTTATGATAATTTTTTTTTTTGTTCGATTTTGTTATTGTTGCATGCATGCATGTATGTTTGTATATTTATTGTCAAGGTTTATCGACTTTTCGAAAAACTCATCTTTCGCCTGTCAATATCAATAACAATATTCGATTGTTGACAGCTTCAACATCAATTACCAGTAACAATGTTGTTTTAAGACATCATCGTCCTAGTTGTGTGTTTTCATAATTTATATTTCTATCAATCATTTAAGAAAATCTCTATTCATTCATATTTATTTTCTAGTAATTAATGGTAAAGAAATGCGTCATACAACATCAGATGATGTTCATCGAACACAACAATATAATGGTGATTTATCTCCTGTTGATAGTGATTCTTTATCACGTGTATCACAAGCTGATTCTGG